AAAAAAAAACATGAAAAAATATAATCTGCTTAAAAAGATTAAAATTCGCATGAAAATATATTGAATTCTCCTGAGTTTTGATCAGAGAAATTATATTTTTATGTTTTTTGCTGTAGTATGAATTAAATTTTTATTAAAAAATAGCGGAACAATTATAATAAAAAGTTTGCGTACATTGTAAAAAGTTTTCTGTGCCAATATTTTTTTCCGTAAGTGTAGTTCCTTTTAGTTTGATTTTAAGCTTTAATTCTTTAAATCATTTTGTTAAAAATGAATATAGTGAAGTGAATTTATTTGTGCTAATTTATGTTTAAAACTTTTTGTTTCTGTATTGAAAAATAATAAATAAATAACAACCATTTGTCCTTCATTACTGCAAAATAATCTTTTTGGCACTCTCAAAAGCGTTTTGGTACGGAAAAAAATTTGTGAGTGGCATCACTGGTACTTATATAAGTGCGTAGTTGCCCTGCAAAAAATTGTGCGACTAATCTCTAAAGAGAGTATTCCGAGATTACCCTCAATCGGGTACAATTGGGCATTAATTAGTCGCAACTAGTCTCATACGGGTACTAATGGAGGTCAATTAGTCTCGACTCATTCCTTACGGGTATAATTGGAGATCAATTACTCCCCAACTCATCTCTAACGTGTACTATTAACGATTTAATGACATGTACGCATTTAATCAATGAAATTTCATGTGCGACGTTGGCACAGAGAGCAAGTATTTCGCTTAACAAAACTGAGAATCCCGGTTCGAATGGAGCAAATTTTTATTTTTATTTTTTGAAAGTGACTAGTCGCGTTTTATATCCGTTCGGGTATGAAGGGGGACAATTAGTCTCTTAATCGGACACGTTCGAACAAAAGCGATCAGTTTATTCCATATAAAGAGATCAAAAGTGGTATTAGTCGGATGTTCCTTTGCGACTTCTCCCGGAGTCACCCCGGAGTAGTCCCATTTTTTGTAGGGTATTTACTGAACAGTAGCGGAGAATGAGCAAAAATTTCTGAATTCGTCACTTTAGATCAGAGGCATTTCTTGATTTTCCAAACACATGTAATTGGGCTTCAAAATGCTGCTGGCTGCGACGTCGACACATGTATAGGGATGGCAAATTCGACTTCAACTTTCGACCAAAATCAACTTTTTACTCCTGAAAGTCGTGTTTTAGTGATCGACTTTCAGTTTATGGAAGTCGACTGAAGTCGACTTTTCACTTTCGACTCTCGACTTTTTTTAAATTTATTTGCCAATAAAAACTGATCTTCTAACGAGCTCGCGGAGTGCTGTTTGGTCGTATTTAAAAAAATTGTCAATAAAACTGAGGTGAAATGTGAAATGTGAACTGAAGTGAAATGTGAATTTTAATGACAGTACAAATCATTACAAAGTCAGTACAAAGCAGCGCATAAAATTATTATACGAAAACAAATTCCTCAAATTTGTCAATCGTTTGTCTCCACAATGTTCAGTTATTATGAGGTAAGATAAACATATTATATTATTATTATACTTATTTATTTTAACAATTTCATGCAAGAAAGTTTTTCTGCTTGAGTTTATGTAAGTTTTTACAGACAGTCTTTGGTTCGAATTTGACCATCCATAAGGTACAAAATTTTAAACACCGCTAAAAACGTTGCTGGGAGGATTCCAGTTAATATGCGACATTAGTCGTGGTGATAGTCCTAATACACTAGCTGTCTGGGCTACTCCCATATTTATCCATGCTTATAAAGTGGCACTTATATTTCTACCAATACCCGCCAATTCTGCTTCATCGGAAAGGCCACATTTTTCCGTAATTACCAAATATCGGTTCAAAAAATTTTTAGATTTTTTTTGTGAGAATTTAAATTTTTTTTCAAAAATAAGCATTTTCATGCTGTATAACTGGAACAATTTTCAAAATTTTTAAAAATCCTTTAGTTTCTTTTTTTTTAACCTAGCATTGAATTTCACTAAATTACAGATTATTCTAAATACCACTAGTAAATCATGATATTTTTGGCGTATTCTGACTCCTATATTTATAGCTAATATATGAGTTAAATGCAGTATACTTAATACATTTCCTTTTTATTAAAAAAGTCGAACAAAGTCGGCTTTTCTTCGTGGATCGGTCGACTGTACAGAGTCGATCGAAAAGTCGAAATTCGACTTTCTAGCGAAGTCGAACAACCCTACACATGTATACTATCATCGCCTTCGTGCGTCTTACGATAATTGACGATTGACTGATGCTTCGCCGGTATTTCGGCAAAGCAAATCAAATCATTTGCTGTTGAGAGTGTTCGG